TAATTAACTAAAGCAGAAATAAGATATCGTAACAGAGTATAGTTGTAATGAAGGAACCAAAGGGATACGAGAGCGAGCCCGAGCTCATCCGAAGTTTATAAAAGTCTTCCATAATAACATGAGCTTAATATCATACAGACTCCGACAATATTATGTAGATATACATATGTTGTTTTCCTGAATGTTTTCGTTGGTATTACTTAATATTTAATTGTATAGATTACAGCAATATAAATATTAAAATTTGTATATATAAGGGTACTTAAACATATAAAAATATCTAAAATGAAATATAAATGAATATAGCGTCAATAATTTTTATTCTGCTAAGAAGAGATAACACACACAGATATATATATATATATATATTATATATATATATATATATATATATAATATATATATATATATATATATATATATATATATATATATATAACGATAATTCCTTTGGAAAGTAAAACTACTAACTATGTGAAATCTTCTTCAAGAAGGATTCTTGAAGACCTATTATAAATTTCCTATCCTAAATGTAATTACACGAACAATAATGCTTTAAGACATTTCACCATTTTCGAAGGAATCAGCCCGAAAGCCTTCCCACCCGTAGATCCCCCTGTGTATCAAATCCATTGGTCTCGTTAAATAATGGAGTACGATTTTCGTTCAGGATCATGGTATAACGATTCTCGTTATGGTCACATAGAGAAAAACGTATCCTTTATTCCTATTTATATGTTACAAATTAGATACTAGGATACCAAGTTTTACATTTAACAGTAAAAATTTCGTTTCTTTTTTTTGTGTAATTACTATGTTTTTAAACGTATAATTTATTAATAATTACATATTTATGTTTGTGTACACATGTGTTTGCATATCTGTAAGAGTGGGCTAGAGAGAGAAAGCAAGCAGAAGGTGGAGTAATTTTACATTTGAATTTTATCACCCCACAAAGCCCCTAATTTCCGAAGGGTAGGGTTCGTTCAATGCGGTTTGTTCATTTGCAACTAAATGAGTCTCATCGCTGTACAAATAGCCATCAAGCTAATCAAACAATTGTCACCTCCTAATAGCCCAATTTAAACTAAATACCAATAAATTTTTCGCCTCACCATTATTAAGGCTCAAGCAATTACAGCAGTGTTCGCCGTTTTCACCCCCCTTCCTTTGTTATATTTAACGAATTTCATCTTTCTGGAATGGAATTAGGGCAGCAACTGTTTTGAATTCTGGAATTAAGGCAGCTACACGTAAAGCCTTTAAATAAGGTCTAATTATGACCTGTACCCCGGAGAAACTTTTATCTCCTACAATAAACAAAATACAATCTCGTTTGAATCGGGTCGAGAATGGAGTTTTATTCGTTCAACTTTTCGGATATAATGGAAGTTTGATGTTTGTTAGGGATGGATTTTGTTTTATTTTAGTTGACTTTTCGGAGATAAATCTCGTTAATTATTTTAATTTTACTGAAAGTTCATCATGCGAAAACGTCATTTGCAAAAGTTTTCTCCGATGATTCTAACTTTCTTTGTTGTCATTTTTATTGCACCATTGTTATTTAAAATGCATTTAAATACCGTTGAAATTTTTATTATTCTTAACGTAGTTTAAACTAAAAATAAACAATCTTGAAATCCTCAACAGGTTCTGGTATAGGGTTCTGGAATTTGTGGTCGTTACCCACTACGCTCTCCACTTAGGCCTAAGTTACGTTAATAGCCTCTCTTTAATAACACTCTACTGACGCGGTCATAGATTGAGGGGAGGAAGCTCTTCATTTAAGCTAATAGGCCTTAATATATAATACCTTGATGAGGCATATGATATGCCATGCTATCATAACATAGTTCTTCTTAAACTTTAAATTATTAAATACAAAATAATTCGATTTTATCTATCTCTGTAGTAAATAAGCTTTAGTATCTAAAATTATCTCTTTGTTTAAATTAAGGGTTTGGACTAAAGTCATGTTAAAACAAACATAAAGAAAAGTAAGTTAGAATGACTGATTCCAAACTCATACGACCGTATTTATCAGTGCTACTTAGAAATTCCCAACTATTGTAGTCCAAACTTAGTCATCAAAGAAACTTTATTCACTAAAATAGTGAATTTTTGAGTAATAAAGGCCACTTGAATAAAGTCGAAAGTCATATCTAATTAGATTTACCGCGAAGGTCTTAAATATTCTCTTTTCAAATTTATTTTTGTTTTTTTCCCTGATCCTTGGAAAATATCTATTGTCAAAATGATCCACAAACCCAAAAAGCCACCAGAATATCCATCCTCTTACCGTCCCATCTCTCTGTTACCCATCATGGGAAAAATCCCGGAAAAACTAACCTTAAAACGCCTGTACCCAATCCTAGATTCTAATCACATAATCCCAGATCACCAATTTGGATTCCGCTCCTCCCATTCCACTATACAGCAATGCCATCGTGTGGTAGACGTAGTATCCTCTGCATTGGAGCGCGGTATGTACTGTACGGGAGCCTTTCTCGATGTTGAACAGGCGTTTGATAGAGTTTGGCACGAGACTGCTGTACAAACTCCGAAAATACCTACCATCTACCTACTTCCTCATTATCGGTTCCTACCTTACTGATAGATACTTTAAAGTAAATCACAACAATGTCTATACATCCTGTTTTTCCCAGTCTGCAGGTGTTCCTCAAGGTAGTATCCTAGGTCCTATCCTTTACACAGTTTATACAGCTGACATCCCAACCCATCCCAACACTGTCATCACCACATATGCTGATGACACATGTATCCTATCAGTTAATAATGACCCATCTATTGCATCCCAAACCCTTCAATCCCACATCACAAACCTTGAAGAATGGTGTCAGAACTGGAGAATTAAAATAAATTCCAATAAATCCCATCAAATTACCTTCACCCTTCGTCGTAAACCAATGACTTCCTGTCCTTCAGTATCCTTTAACAACACCTCACTTATTCCTGTTGAACAAATCCGTTACCTAGGACTCCATCTGGACAAACGTCTAACTTGGAATCCTCATACCAGACTGAAACGACAAGAAACAGCTCGACGTTTCCGACTACTTCAACACTTACTAGACAAACGCTCTAACCTTCCAATCAATTATAAAAGACTGATTTACATGACTATAATAAGGCCTATTTGGACTTACGGAGTTGAGCTATGGGGCTCCACCAAACCTTCAAATTCCTCTCGCATACAATCCTTGCAATCCAAAATCCTTCGTAAAATCCTCAATGCTCCTTACTTTGTTACAAATAAAATTATCCATAATGACCTTAATGTTTCTTATGTATCAGATTTGGCCCAATCCAGATATCTGTCCTTCCATAATAAACTTCATAACCATCCCAACCCTCTTATCTCTAACCTTGCTTCCTATTCGCCCTCCGAGGCGTCTGAAAAGAAGATGGCCACGTGATCTCCTAATATAGACATATTATTAGAGTGCTACCAATGGGTAGTTTCTCAACATGTGTTCCATGTCTTTATACCAATGTGCGAATTTACCAGATGTATTTTTTGTATACAGTTGTTAATATCATATAAATAAATAATAAAAAAAAATTTTGTTTTTAATTTTTTATTTAACTTTTTTTTTACACCCACACCTGTCAGAAGTACTGACAATAAGCTAGTCTGCTGTTGGAAAAATACAAATATTGGCTTGATCGACCTGAGGAAAAGGAATTCCCAGTGACATCCCTTCTTGCTTGAATTTAGTATATTTTTAGGCAAGGAAATCCCTCATAAAGCTTCTTTTAAGTCTCCGAAGCGTGTTTTCGGGCATGTTAATCTTGTACCAGTTTGTTAGTATCTCCATGTAAGTTATTGTGAAATTGTTTGTAGTGTGTCTGAATATGGTTGTTAACTATTGGCATATTTAGATATTCATGTAATGTAATGGTACGTCACAAACGTTTTAAGAATTTGAATCATTGTTAGGTGAAACATGTCATAGCGAAATTATTTTATTTAATCCATGGAATAAAAAAAAATCAAATAATTACGAGATTGATTGATTTCCGTTGTATCAAAATAAATTCGCGAATTTGTCCAACGAGATTTATAGCGGAGACGTAACGTTTTATTTTGTGGTAGTGATGAAAAATGATAAAAAATAATATAAGAACAAAATTTATAAAATATATAGTAAAATTTGCTCTTAATACTTCTGTGAGTTTGAGCAACGATATATTTTTTGCATTCAGTTCAGTAAAAATAAATGGTTTGTATATTAAATATAAAGTGATTTTCAGAATAGTTTTATTAATCAGTGATAAACTTTCAATGTATTGAGCGATATTGGGTAATTTGTTTACTTATTATTATATTTTATAATTTTTAAAACTAACTTATAAATGATTTTTTTGAATTGAAAACTTTTTTATGCGCACTTAGCACTTTTTTTGTTATTTAGCGATGAGCTCGGCTATATAACGCTCATTCGGGCAAAGTCGTTTTGATTCGCCTAATTGTTGAATTTGGATTAAAACATCTTAGAAACTAAACATCGGACCTGCAAACTGTTGATCTCATTTCCAGATCACTCGAATCTATTGATTAACATTTCCTTTAATTTAGTAGAATTATACATTTTATAATAAACACAAAAATATTAATATTAATATAAATAAACACAAATTCACTTTATGATTGGCTCATGTGAAAATGAGATAATATAAAAAGATTTCTATAATCTTGCCATTGTAAGGCCTGAAAGCACGAGGGTCGTGGCTAAAGTTATGGTAAAAACAAGTTATAAAGTTATAATGTTATTACGTTACGATGGTGAAGGTAGCACCAAATTTAATTGAAAATTGAGAAAGTTCCTGGAGTTGTGTTATGTTGAAAAATGTATTAACTATGTATGAACTACCTAATAAATAAATAAAATAATGACCGGCAAGTAAGAACCAGAAGAGGAAGACACAAATATCTTAGAAAATCTCAATGCTAAAACAGAGCATCGAAACAGGCTTACCATTCTCTGCAAGAGTTTCGACAGCCACTCCGGAAAACTGAGGAGTCACGTCTGTGAAGAATGTTCCAAGCCTCCTTCCACTCATGATGGTCTTAATCGCCTTCTCTTGCATACCGTTGCATATGACGACGCTAACTCCTCTGTCTAAGGCCCACGTTGCAGCTTGCACCTATGGAAAGGCATTTTGAAATTTAATATATTTCATGTACAAAAATTAATAAGGACTAAAATCACAAATAGTAGTTAAAACACTACTTGGTACTTCTTTTGAGCCTTGAGACAATCAATTATTCTTCTGGTAAGAAATTAGTTTTGTAACATTTCAAAAGATTCTACTAAATGGACCTAAGGGATCAAATAGTTCTGATCGTGAAATATACGGTCCACACTCCTAATCCACGGTATAGACACCATTTTTATGAAATTATCAGTAAAGGATCATGTTATTACAGAATTCTGTAAAAATATCTCTGATAAATGTGATCAAATAATTTTGGTTGCTACAGTAGAAACCTCCGCAAGATATCGTTTGAACTAAACAGCCGGGTTCGACACTTACTATAAATGTTTCGTTTAGAGACTTTTAGGAGCGAAAGTTTTCAACCACCCTCCCTAGACCAACTTCTTAGGAAGGCCGCTTAGTGGGCATTTACAGAACGACTACCCATCAATATTGAGTTAGGAAACAATTGTCGGAACGGTGACCGAAAGATATTTGTTTCAGGGTCGATAGTTTCAAACTATAAATAATTGGAACGTGGGTCTAAGCTGTCCTATTCTAGAGAAGAACTCTATGAATAAATGTTGAGTACCACATTCAAAGGCATAGAACTACTTCTAATGGTCTATAAGATAACGACCAAATCCTGCTAGACCAGATATACAATATCTAGTGTTGTTAAAATCCGAGACCGAGACGAGTCTTGGTCTTGCAAACTCAATCTTGGTCTAGGTCTTGGTCTTGCGCAATAGTCTCGCAACGGTTTTGCAGTTACCTATTAGCTTAGTACTATAGAGATATTATTTTTTTATCTGTGTTTTTTTAGATAGGGGAAATCTAACTAAGCTCAAATGAAAAATTAGAAGAGTTAAGTGCAAAAGTATATTGGTTATACCAATTCTTTACATATAGTATCTAAAATTGTCAAGCATTAGTAACTATTTTGCCTTTATTTTTATTTAAAAAATTCGATTTTTATTTACCAGTCTTGGTCTCGGTCTTACGGCATTGAGGCGGTCTTAATCTTGGTCTTACAAAGTGCAATACCAAGACCAAGACTAAGAACGCCGCACTGTTGCAAGACCGAGACCAAGACTGGTAAAAAAGTAGATTTAATTTAATTTAAATATTTTAATAATTAATTAAATTAAAATCTTGCAAAGTGCAAGACCAAGACTGATTTTGGGCAACACTAACAATATCCGTATGATAAAAAATAGTTTTAGGTGACCACCAAGTAGGACTAGCGGATCCAGAAATTAATTTTTGGAGGGAGCTTTTAGAGAACACAAATAAGAAAGCCCGAAAGCTTTCATATATATATATATATATATATATATATATATATATATATATATATATATATATATATATGTATACGTTATATATATATATATATATATATATATATAACGATGATTAATTATGAAGAAAAAGAAAGAATCTAACTATCTATAAGAAATGGTGTTTAAGTGATTCTTGAAGTCTTATTAAATGTAATTAACGAGCAATAAAACTTTTTGTTTTCGTAAGACGTGGATATATTTTACCATTTTGGGGTTGGGGAGGAGGACTTCAACCCAAAAGACCCCTCTCTCCCCTCCGTAGAGCCGCCTGTGCCAAGTAGTATTCATAAGAGGAAGATGTATACTAGAAAAGATCTTAATGCGGAAAGAGATCAATGAAAAAACTGTTTGTTGAGTTAGTATGTGTCATAAAGTAACTCAGTATGTGTCATTCGGTAGTTACAAAACAGGCTTTGATTCCATCGACATAAATTGTCTATGGACGATAATGACTGAGCTGGGTATTCCTAGCTAATTTTAATTTCGGAGATGGACCTTGCCAATGATGATCGATTTAGACATAGAACGGAAATAACAACATTATGAGAAAGTACAGGGAATACACGTCGGAAACAATAAATATTCCTAGGATATGGGATATGATGTAGCTCTCTTCGGGTTCAATCACTATAATATTGAAAGACTCACTAACAGACTGATAAGGGAAATAGATTAAATCAGCCTACTAGTTCATTAATACATAACAATATATTTGAATATAAGACGGTAAGCCGAAAAATCCTTCCATACAGGATCTGTGCTATTGAGGAATTATTCCATAAAGTCAATTATCTTGTCTCAATAACCAATATAAAAAGCGTGAAGCCTTCTTCAGAGCTGTATTTTCTCTTTCAATGGTATTGAAATTCTTAAAAATCCATTGAAATCTCAAATTTAAAGTGCATAATGATCAAGGCAGTCTTGCGTCTCAGCTGCGAAACCCCGACACAAACCAGCACTTTATGCAGAAGGATTGAAGGAGTTGAGGGGAGAGTCACGTGTAGCTTTCGGCAATTCATCATAATGCCTCTGCACAACAAAGAACCAACAATAGTTGGCAAGAGCACACGTGAACGGTCAACAATCAGATTGACGGATAGTTCACAGGCTATTTCATGTATTTTAGAAACTATGTTACTCTTAAAACTAATTTATTTAATAAGAAATAAAATAAGGTACTTTAAAAAAACCCATTAAAATATGCTATTAAAACTTTTCAAGGATTATATAAAATCAGGAAAAGTTAATGACATATAATCCAAACTTTGGAAAATTTATATGTGCTCATAGTTACTGGTTTATAGTTCCCCGACGTCACAAAAAAGGAGCTGAAGTGTTTGATTTGTTTTCCCTAAGTTGCTATGAAGGAGGAAATTAAACGAGGAGGTTGAGTCACTTTCATCTTTCTCAAGTTTCGTTTCCTCCGTTAAAGCCTAGCAGAGAAATTTATTAAATGTCTAATGAAACTCTGAAAACAAAAGATTCAAAGCCTCCCAAACTATTTGTGCCGCTTCTTTATATAATTAATCGGATACTGCCTCTAGCTTTAGAAAGGTCAGACAAAAGCTTGTATCCAAAGAACATAGTTATTCATAAGTGCATGTCTTTGATAAGTTCATAAAGATTCACTGTCCTAAGAAACGATATTTAGTGTATGATCTGAAAAAAAAATATCTGCTTCTTGTTTTGAATAGGAAAACAAAGAGAAAAAAAAAATAGTGGAATTTTTTGGTTCAAAATCATGCTTTAATTCTCTAGTATCAATCGAGTCACCTGAACAAAATCTCTAAGTTCCATTACTTTTTAAAAAACATCGGAGTAACTTTTGTTCAGTAATTAGCTTTGAATAACCATATTTCCTAAATTACCTAGAATCCATTCCACTCTCTGGATCAGGGTTGGATATTAGTGGGGTTAAAATCTATTCGACTAAAATGATTAAATGTTTACTAAGAAATTTTATCCTTGAATAAAAGTTCATATATATATATATATATATATATATATATATATATATATAATATATATATATATATATATATATATATATATATATATATATATATATATATATATATATATCTAGGTTATCAAACATAGGACAGAAATTTTGGCCTAAGAGGTTACCATCTCAAGTCAGATAAATTTTGGAGTGCTGAGAGGTCATGGACGATGAGGCACTCCAAATGGACTATGAACTTTCTGGACTGATAACCCAACTCTGTGCTTCCTTCCCAGAGCTTTCAACCCTCTCTCAGCACTGTATAAATATCAATTCTTGTCTTCATTCTGACAGCAGGATTGAGAACAGAATTTTCCTTTTATCCTTAACTGAAATATCTAGTATGTGGTGTACCTCCAAAAGATATTTTGATATAAATGTCACCTTAATAAACACTTTACTAAGACTTTACAATTAATAAGACTATATGTATAAATGGGAATAACAGTAAAACAGAGTCATCACTTTCTGTAAAACAAAGTCGACAAAATCGGAGATAACCACACGCTTAAAGAATTCGGCCTTTTTATCTAACCTGAGCAAATACCAGTTTGTTTGATATGTTTAAATAACTATATATATATATAATTACAAAAAATATATATATACAAAAAAAATTTTTTGTATATATATATATATATATATATATATATATATATATATACAAAAAAATTTTGTATATATATATATATATATATATATATATATACAAAATTTTTTTTTTACATTAATAATTGTTCAATAAATCTTCCTAAAAATCATCCGAAACTCAATTTAAAAACTACTTTGCACCATATTACTTTTTTATTTCTCATTTTAATTGTCCACATTGGTATTTATTAGCCTATCTAATGAATGGCTTAGTACGATTTGTCAATGGAACCCCGAGACGTTCTCATGTTTTCCACTATTACGCCGAGTTAGGGTGACTCTTTCCCTCCTTCATAAGACAGTATTTTCTATGTACATTCCTTTACCAAATAATCTATAATCATCGTCCGTCCTACGCATCCAATCTCCTTCAATTCAAGTCATCTATCCACTCCCTCTCCACAAGATCTCGATCTTCCGACCTTTATACCCCTTTCCACAAATCGCCTCATTTTAACACTCCTTTATTGTCCGCTCCACCACATTTTTTAATTACATCCCACTTAAAATCCGCCATGCACCATCCTTATCCACATTTAAAACCCTCTTATTCCAATTCCTCCTTACATCTCAATCAGACGCTGGGCAGCCATTTATAATGTATATTATATGTGTATATAATCTCGTCTATATGTATATTATCTTTTCTTTTCTCCAATCAATCAACGTCATAGGATTTAGATTATATAGAACTTGTATAATGTTTACAATACTATTATTGTACTCTTCGAACATACTAAGATACATATGTAAATCATTTAAAGTAAATATTTATCCACATTTTTATTTTATTTTTTTTCATTAATACAATGGCATGACAACAAAAGTTATTTGTAGCTCATTTATAATTCCATAGCTTATTGTTTTTAGTAACTATCTTGCTGTATTGGGAGTTTATTGCTCATATTATGTCTTTAATATATCAGTATAGTTATGTAAATCCTTCTGTT